TGCCACAACTGCATAGTTTGTGATGAAAAATCATAACGACAAGTATTAGGTAAAATACTAGCATGTAAGCTAGGAACAGATAAAAACAAAACAGGTGATGGAGATGGAGGTGGAGAAACTGGTGAAACGGGAGATGGATCGCCTAAATAATACAATCCATCTCTCTCATGTCCCCTGATAATAATCCTCCTCGTACTCAGGTTCTGTAAATAACACGAATCAGATAAGAACACAATTGCACAGTGAAAATCTCTAGCTAACTGATGTACAAATAATAGATTCATGACAAGCTTTGGCGCATGAAACACCGAACGTAATGTAAAGTCATCTGTGAGGCGGACTGTACCCCTATTAACAATAGAGGCATGTGTACCATCTGCTAACTGAACTTGAGAATGTAACTGTTCATCAAAAGAGATAAAATGATAGGCCTCACTTGTCATATGACCATTAGCACTTAAGTCCAGCATCCAAAGAGGAGACGGACTAGCGCAAGTATGAAAGACACGAGGTATACCTGTAGTAATGGCAACAGTAGTAGTCGAACCTTGAGAAGTCAAGGCTGACATAAGTATATTCAAGCGAGAAGTGATAGCATCCATATCACTCTGCCAATGAGGAGCAGTAGTAGTAATAGCAGGAGCAATGACTGTAGGTGGTGGTGCCTTAGCAATGACAGTAGTACGGTTGCGAGGAGGCAGCTTAAGCTCCGGATGGAGCTTCCAACAAGTAGCCCTGAGATGTGCTAGTCCGCTACAATAATCACACTGATGAGAATCCCTATATCTACGCTGATGTAGGGTACCTTGACGGCGTTGGGCCGAGCGTTGTCGACCCCTATACCCGGTGGAAGTACTAACAAATGTCTCAACAGTAGGGATCTCAACTCCCTTAGTAGTAGTCATATCATCAATAATACTAGGGCACTCGTGACAGAAAAACAACTCTAAGATAAATAGATGGATAAAATAAGAGAGAACAATATACCTCCAGTCGAACAATAGTGACAGATAAAGAAGGTCCAGAAAACTTTCAAAATAATCAGGTCACGGTGCCTAAAAATTCAGTAAATATAAATAAATGATTTACTGCATCAAGAGCAAATCAATGAAAAAGAGAAATCAACCCCTCTTAAAAGGTCATACGGTCCCGAATAATTAGGCACACGAAGGCATAACTTGAAGTTGTGAACACGACCCAACAGTAGGCTGGTCCACTAGAGTGGGTACCATGTTGGGTTTGGGACTGGACTGGGTTTGGTACTGGACTGGACTGGATTATGTAGGTACTGGGTTTGGTTGGCTTGAGAGGCAAAGAGGCAGAGAGGCAATCGGTGCTTTGTGGTTTCTGTTTTTTTTTTTTTTGGGTTGGGTTTGTCGATGATGTTTCTGGTTTGTGACCGACAGTGGGTTGTCGCTGGGGGACTGGATGGCTGGTGGTAGGGAAGGTGATGAAGGCTAGGGTTAAGGTTAGGATTAGGGTTAGAGATGGAGGTTAGGCTTTGATACGAAGAAGAGAGCTATGTATGAGTCAAAGGGATACAAACTAAGTGTAGAGCCCCCGTATATATAGTCAATGAAAGTTACAATAAGGATAAAAAGGTAAAAAAGAAAAACTTAATAAACTCTAATAAACTAAACTGTTATATCTCCAACAGAGGTCAATATCTCTTTTAAGTGGTAAGAACTCCTTCTTCTTAGCTAAGTTATGATTAGGGTGGACATTAAAACATAAGTTTAACTTCATATTTGGGTTATAATATATCCAAAAAAAAAGCTAGAATGATTAGTCAAAGGTCTATAGTAAAGTCCATGAGGACATTAGTTCATGCATGAATTTGTATGTATGAATAGGGTATGCATATTTTATTTAAAATTTTTCATTTAAATTAATCTAAACAAATACTCTTAATAGTGTTTACATTCTAGAATTCGTGGGTAACAACCTTAGAAACAATTTGAGGGAGCTTGGGTGGAGTTTTGTATGAATAGATAAGCTGGAAATTAAATTCGTCTATCTCAGGCTGCTTGGATAACCTATAAGAAAATGATGATTACTCCCTCTAGAAAACTCAGAACGACGCACTGTTGCGTTGAAAACTAGAAATGCAGAATTTTCCGTTGGTGTAAGGTAGAGCACCTAGATATGTCTGGGTAGTATTTAGCTTAAAGATGATTTAAAGTACATGATTGATTGTACCATTTTAGATTCAATTGTCGATTGAACAATAACCGGAATAGGATCTATGGGTTGTCGTTTTAGAGCAATTGGCCTCTTCGACATCTTGGTTAGACGCATGGGTAGAAGCTCCCTTCTTTTAATAAAACTCTCTGCCAATGTGCCTCTTCGATGTTTTGGATAACTTTACTTAAATTTTCTATCGCAATAGATCCTCTAGGTCTCGAGCATTCTTAGGATGCTCCCAAGAATCACGGTATGCACACTCCAATGAGTTTGATCTTCACCTAGACAACTTCTTTTCCAAGGTTTGAGGTTGGATAGAAATCACAAGATGACAACCTTTGGATTTAGGGATCTAGGGTTGTGGTGCATGCTCTTAAGGTGTAAGATTTATTTTCTTTCTAAAAATACTCAAAAGAGGCTTACCTAGATGTAAGAAAGATTCTCCCTAGGCTCAAAATAAGGACAATCTTGGCAATCAAGAAAACACAGATTCACGTACAACCGCTCGAGCAATGGGAGGACGATCATAGGGCGGTGATCACTAGAAAAAAATAAAATTTCAATCCGACCTTGGAGAGTAGGACAGCTCGAACAACCAAGGAACCGCTCGAGCGACTTCTAAGACAGCTCGAGTGACCTTTGATGTCCAATTGCTCCACCATTTGGCCTTTGCCCAATTTTTTTCTAAATTATTAAGAGACTGTTCTAGCGAATGCTAGCAAATATAGGGCGGTCCCTACTAGTTTTTTAAGAATAAAATTCATAAAAAAAAAAAAAAAAAAAATTATCCTCTTGAACACTAAAGGGTGATATTCAATAAGGGTACACTAGAGGCTCAAATTATGTTTTCAAAATATCAAACAATTTAGAAAATCTTTTTTTTGAAAATCACTTGGAAGCCATACACGGATCAACACCGATTTTATTTGAATACTAATCTTTCTAAGTTTATTAAACCAATGGATCATCTTAGATTTCTAGGTTATTTCTTATTCCTAAACATGAAGGTGCATACAAAGTTTTTGATGTAGCTTTGATAAGTGATCTCCTTCTTCAATTGATGCTTTTGAATTTTCATCGTTATAGCATTATGACCATGAAATAAATTGAGATTTGCATGGACTCCATGAAATTAATCAATTACAAAACTTGATCTAACACATACTATACGTGCTTATATTTGATATGAGTAGACTCATCCAAGTCACTAATGTAGTGATTCTGAAGTAGATGAGTAGGTGCTTGTTAAAGAACAAGTACACTGAACATGATTATTAACTGACATAAGATTTTTCATATGGATTTTATACCTAACAATATTAAATCCTAATTTATAGTTATACAACTGATTTTTAGACCTGAGACACCATGGTTATCTAGTAAATAATTTTTTATGTTTTAACCATACAACATATTCATATAATAGCCATATAAATTGAATATATATAATTGGAAATAGTTAGACATGCATGGTGACTTATGAGTATACAATATGAAATCTATCACCCTTTAGTAAGAAAAGAAGAATGCCATATGTGATCTTTTAGGATATGACTCAAGGAGTCCTTGTCCAAAGCATAATGACAATTAGAAAAGAGTTTATAACTGATCATTAGGAGTCACACTCTTAAGATCAAACACATAAGAGTGAATTAGAGACTTAAACAATAATTTTATTCCCTCGTAATTCAATTGAGGCATTGTATGATATATAGCAAGATTGAATTGCATAGAAATTGTAAAAAAAATACGTTCTTTACCCACTTCTTGCTATCCAAGGATTTGATCACGATATGCTGCTAGGTGTCATCCATGATTAGTATAAGGCCAATGAATGAAAATAATATAAATGTATCGTTCTTCATAAAGGGAGAATTAGGGGAAGTTTAATTCAAAATAAATCACAAAGAGTTCTAATCTAATATGCTACTTAAACTTAGTATTGAATGCATACAATCAGATATGCTTGAACTTACTGGGTCACACAATAGAATTGATCAAAAATTGAAAGACAAAGGAGAGAAAACTAATTAATAATTAATTGGGGTGAAATTCAAATTAAGTTAATTATGAACTTTATTACAATTAATGATTAATAAATATGTTATTAGATAATTATGAGATAGTTACAACTGAACCCAAACCTATAAAAACCCATAGAGGAGGTGGGTGGTTATAACTACATTCTCTTGCAATCAAAAGAAAATCCATGCCTCGTTGTCTCTCACTCTACTAATTCATCAAAGTTGAGATGGGTCCTTTATGTTTGTCAATTGGTGTGAATGCAGTAAAGATCAAACAATTCTAAGACTTGTGGTAAATGTCAAATTCACATGTGAAGATTCAAGACTTCTTTAGTGAACATTAGGATCATTACAAAGGTACCTATTAATCTTCTCTTTTCTCTAGATCTAGGGTTCTCAGTTTATATGAAACATAAATAGATCTTGCAATAAGGAATCGAATAATTTTTTAAAAAAAATTCAGTGCATTTCTTATATAATTCCTTACAACATGATCAATCAAATTATTGCTAGACCTGGTAACAATTTCATCCATTAGAAATTGTCTAGCATATTGTTGTCTTTCATAGCTCCAGCAACCAATTGATGGAGAGTCGAGTTCTACTGATATCAACTAATGCAAGGTACGCAAAAGTAGGTTTGGTATCAACAGCAGGTTTCAGCAGCTGGCTTGAAGAGGGCACACCTTATATTTTGGAACAAAAGATCATGATTACATTCTATCTGTCAAGACAGAAAGGCCACCAAATTAATCCCTCCAATGGATTATAAAACGGGAATGAAGTACTCCCTCCAAACTTGTTCCAACAAACTGAGAAGTAACTAAAACTATAAAAGAACATGAATGAACAGTCATTACACCAATAGGCTCTACAATGCACGGAAGAAACTCTACAATGCCTCATTGAAGAATCAAATCTAAAATTCAAAACTCGGAATACATAATTTTGAGCTGCCTAATTAATCTACCACTCAAATGCTTAAATGTTCATCTCTAGGTAAACTCTGAACAGTATCTGACCATCTTCCTGGTGAATGGTCACTGCTATTGGAAGACACTTGAGCTTCTGCTCTTGCTTCTCTGACCATCCTCAAAACTTCCCTCATGACCGGGCGGTTCTCGGGTGCAAGCGAGACACAAGCCATTGCGATGTTCAAAAGAGCACCAAGCTTCTCCTCCGAGACCTCATTACTCGAGGCAGGGTCATCACCAGACTCGGTCTCTTCTTCTCTGACCGATCGTACCCATCGAGGGATATCTGAACCGTGTTCTTGAACAAGGTCTTGGAAAGGAGTCTTGCCAGTCAGGAGCTCCAATAGAAGAACACCAAAACTGTAGACATCGGCTTGCTGCGTGATGGGCTTTCGCACATCACGACATTCAGGGGCTCTGTAGAAGAGGGAAGAAGCACTGGACTCCTCATGTTCCGGGTTTCTGAATGAGGTGAGGCCGTAGTCAGTGAGACAGGACTCGAAGTCGGACCCCAATAATACATTGGAGGATTTCAAGTTGCCATGTGTTAGACCAGGGTTCTGATGGATATAAAGCAGTCCAGTAGCCAAATCCTCTGCTATTTTAAGGCAGGATGTCCAGTGAAGAGGCTTCCCACCACCTGAAGCTCTTGTTCCTGCAAAATAACAGACACAAACTCACTTACCGAGGGAAGAGGTAGGTTAGTCAGAAAGCTTCCTCACCCACAATTCAAAGCAAGAAATAGATTTCATAACATAGTTATATATGTATATTTAATCTGTATTGAATAATAATTGAATCAGATAGTGATATATCCAAATCCGAATCTGAATCCAAATTCGTAAAGCATAATCTCATGCAATCGGATTTGGATAATCAGTTAAAAAAAGATTTAGATGATGAATGGGAGAGAGAGAGGGGGGGGGGGTTGAAGAGAGATGTATTCAGGTCATATTTTCAGTATCACTAACAGCCAAGGTAATAATGCATTGGGTTAATAGAATAAGTGAAGGTTGTGTAATTATTTTTTAGAAAAGAGAGAGCAGAATTGAAAATGACCAATTAGACAGCAATACGCAGATTGCTTAGTAATAATTGACTAATTATGAAAGCACACAAAAGATTAATCATTTTCTTAACAGACAAGTTCGCTAATAAAATAATTTGACTTGACAACGGTATCGACAAAAACAAATTAGTACTGTACCTCTAAAATTTATTACTTTAATGACTGATTTTATAACTTTTATGGGTCATTGTACAACCAAAAATTTTATCACTTTGGTGGGTGATTTATCATTTTTGTGCCTGTTTTTATCATTTTTGTAGGAGTTTTTACCACTTTTGTGAGTGATTTATGATATTTGTGGGTACTGTTTTGTAATTATTTTATAATTTTTTTAAGTATCACAACAGTGATAAAAATAACAACAAATATTTATAAATCATAGTGTAGCACTAAAATTTTATTTTTCGATACCAAGACAAATCCAAATATTATTATACAACTAGTGAGACTCGGCTCCAATCACATGATAAGTTTTTTGTTTTTGTTTAGGGTGAGACTATTTCCACTTCAAAAATATTCATTTCCATTCTATTTAATTTATTATTATTAAATTGCTAAATCCATCCCTTCTACATCCTCCCCATTAGTAATTAAGTTTCATCTCATGCTATAAACAACTCTTTAATAAGTAAGAAAAGAAAACAAGAAATACAAATCTATCAAAACTCAAAAGAAAACAAGAAAAAAAATTAAGAAAAGACAAAATCAAGAAAATAAATGACGAAATTTGTCGCCGAAAAAATAAAAAACAAAACAAGCTTTCTAATTCACAAAGACTAATCCACAAACGACACACGCTTGCCAAACGAAATAATTTTTTTATTGAAATTGCCTTTATTGCTTATTCTTAAAACAATCTATATATATACACACACACACACATAAACTCTAAATAAAAAATTATTAAACTTGAGGTACTAAAACACAACAAAAATAATGAAAATCCACACTACACACATGAAATTAAACATAGAATTAAATCTAGAAGTAATATTAACTTATATCTCATTGGAGACATACATATTGAAATAGCACTTTTATGGGTGTATAAGATGTAATAATGAATGAAACCCTAATTGTAAGAAGATATAAGATAGATTTATTTATTAAAAAGGTGTATATAGCATAAAGTAAACTTAGTTATTAATGGGTTGAGTATAAAAAAAGTGGGTTTAATAGTTTGATAATAAAAAATTAAATAGAATGAGAATGAATATTTGTTGAGTAAAAATAGACCCACGAATAAAACTATGTTGCACAAGTTTTTTACAAAATCTTGCATCTTAAATGATGTGTCAAAATCTCATGCATTGAATATTTTATGGAGTTAGTAAATCCTACTAATTTAACCACTTGCATTGATATACGATACAAAAATTGACAAATTTTGATTAAAAAAATTTGTTATTAAGAAAAAGCCTACTTTTGTTCGGACATAATTTTGATTAAGAGCCTAAACATCGTAGTAAACAACATACGTGGATATGAACCCAAAAGAAAAAAAAAATTATATAGCATAGGTGAATATATTAGGGGCGTTAGATTTGATTCGTTGATACGAACCTAACACAAATTTAACACGAATAATTAAAAAATTAATACGATTATTAAATACGAATAATAAATAATCTACACTAAAATTTAATACTCAAAATATATTAGATATATATTTTTTTATATAAATTTTAATACAAATACAATATGAATAACAATTAAACAAGACAAATAACACTAACATGTCTTAGATGATGTCAAACACAACACAATTGATTCCTTGCGCACAGGCTTAACGATTATCCTTTTGTGTGCGTCACACTGTCGATCTTTTTGGGGGTGGTTAGGTTGTCATGGACCCACCAAAATTCAATGATACCACTGACACAGTGGCGGTGGGCCCATTACCAAAAGGGCTGCAGATCTATCCCATTCGACTTAAAGTTCAAAATTTTGGAGAGCTCGACCAATAATTATGTATTCGAAGTTATGATTTGTTTAAATTAAATTATAATTTTTTAAAAAAATAAATTAAAATTTTATAGATAATAAAATATTATAATCTATCATAAAAGTTATACTTTCTAAAGATTAAGTTATAATTTTTAAAAATTAAATTATAATTAATTAAAATTATATATGATCAACAATTATAACTTTTCTTTTAAAAGTATAATTTGACTATTCTAATAAATAGTATAATTATATATTAATTATTATTGTAAAAAAAATTGAATTTTTATTTTTGATTTTATTTTAATAAATGATACAATAGAAAATGAATTTTAATTATAAAACTTAAAATATTTAATATTATATATTCTATATTTGATTGAAATATTTTTTATCTAACTATAATATTTTGATTTAACGGATTTAAGTATTATATGTCTACAAACTTCAATAGATTTAAGTGTAATTTACTAATAAATATACTAACGAATATTGACGACATAAATATAAGTATTATACAAATATAAACTTTAAAAGATCTGTATGTAATATATTTTAAATATCAGAAAATCTGAGTGATTAAGTGATAAACTTTAAGAAGTTTAGATGTAATTCTTCCTAAAATATAAAATTTATTTAGGACGCCTCTAAGTAATGTTTACTTAAAAAAGGAAAAAAAATTATTGAACAAAAAAAGGACGGCACCAGTTGGGAAGAAGGCAGAGTTGAAAATGCCAACTCATAGATAAAAGTACGAAACTTTTCGAGATTAAAGATTTCAACCGTAAAAGGTGTCTTGTCGCCTTCCACCTAAATCTCCACAAGAGTGACGGGTTGATGCAGAAAGCTTTATACTAATCAATTGAAGCACCTACGCATATGATTTCTAGTCAATCTATCTATAATGAAATGTAAACAGCACAGCGTAGTTGAAGATATCTTCCCTTCCGAAAAAACACTGTTGATATTAGTGGTTGTGAGTTGCCATCAGGGTGCTCCTCGTATTTGTCTAACACTCTCTAAAGCAATAACTTACGTGCCCGTCTAAAGAAACAACGTTTATGTTGACAGGACATGGGGTACACACAGTCCCACGGGCACGAGCCTTCCGCCAGTCAGCATGCGATGACTATTAACTAGTAAGGAAGCAACTCAGCGGATTCAATTATAAAATTCTCAACAGCGACTTCAATATGAATTTGAATTTTTTACTTAAAGCTTTGAATTTGGGATAATGTTATATCTTTTGAATTGAAAAATAAGACTTAATTTGAGATTACTAATTTGGACTAGAAATCTGGTTCATATCATGTTAAACTTCAGAAAAATCTGGTTCATTTCATGTTAAACTTCAGAATAAATTCAAAGTTGACCACTTTGAGTATCGTTTTCAAATGGATACGAAACTACTCCACATAATTAGGATAATTAATAAGCTCATGTGTTTTGAGACAAGTGATTAGGGATGATAGTGGATCGAGGGAATAACGGATATTTGTCCAAATCTGTCACGTTTGGATAGATTATACGTATTGAACTGTAGACGTATACTAGAAAACCCGTATAAATTCGTACCAAAATGAAGACGGGAATGGACTTCCTGTTTACCCCGTCCCGCTCCCCCCCCCCCCCCCCCCGCGGTTAAATATATAAAATTGAACTATCGTTTTATTAGTTCAATTTTATTTTTCTTTTTTTCCTTTCTCTCTAATAGTTTTGTTTCTCTTTTTGTGATCCAATGATACTTTAAATAGAATACTATATTATTTTAGCTTTTACATTTTGCATTATGTTGTGTTAGACTATGTTAGAATATTGTTGGATTATTTAAAATATTTGATTTATTTAAAATTTTGGATTATGCTCCTTAGGCCTGGGCTTAGGCGGGTATGGGGGAAACGGGGACGGGAACGGGAATTAGAAATGGAGATGAGAATAAAAACTATACTCGTTAACGGGAGTAGACCGAGGATTGACGAAATTTTTTTAAACGAGTACGGGGATGAAGACTACACTCTCCGTTCCCGCCCCTGCTTCGATCCACGGACATCCCCACAAGTGACCAAAAACACACACGAAGAAACACGTGAAGAAAACAATATCCACTACAATCAAACCAAGCAGATGACTAATGCGTGCCTCATTAGGCCGCACTGTTGAAATAGGCATTTCAACAGCATGACCGAGCACAATGCAAATAAAGCATTTTACGGAGACCCTTCGGCAAACAAGAGAGAGAGACAATTTACTTGTTTTGGAAGACCAATGCATTGATTCACGTTCCCTCCCCAAACCAGATCAAATCGAATAGCGAAGGTAAGAGATTTTGCCTCTTACACTTCTAATTTTGATTTTCTTTATCATAACAATGTGTGGTATTTGAGTTTGATTCAGGTTGTTTTTATGAACTCGAGACCACAACTTGAGCATTATCCAAATTTAAATAGTATTGTGATTTTCTGTCCAAGTTATCCTGCATAGTGAAAATCTTTGTTCAATTTAGGATTTGATTGAAGTTAAATTTGCTTAACCATTCAGATGACTATTGGAAGCCACTACACCAGGTCCAGTAATTCCCTTCAATGGTGTCTTCTCTATTTTCTTATAGTATAGACAATTCCAATTATGTTTTGATATATCTGTATTTTGTCCCTATATGTTTAGATGTAATCCCAATCTTGAGCTTTAACTTGCAATAGGGTAATGAATGACATATATAAGCAATCCAATGATTGTCAACTATATCATTTATATAAATGTTAGAATTAATAAAAAAAATTTAATTTTTTATTTTATCTTTAATTATTATTATAAAATAATTTATGTCTATATATATACTTTCATCAAATTTTTATTTTGTATACCTTTTGACTTTCAAGTTCTTTGAACTCTTTTGTTAATAGTATTTTATTTTTAAATTCTTTTGAACTCATTTATTAATACTACACTTACATATAGAGACTCATTTGGTTATCGTACTTTAAAAGAAATGATTGTATTAAGTAAAACACCCTAATTTTGTACAAATAGATAAAACACAAGATTAGATATGAAAACAAAATACTACTCATTTTAATCTAACATGCAATTTAATATTAAGTACTCACAAATTAAATAATTAAGTTTAGCAATAGTTAAATAAAAGTTAATTATTCAACATATAATTTATTATTTAATTTAATTATACATATAATTTAATATTTTATAAAAAAAACTTATTATTTAAGTATATTCATCTGCAATACATACACGCCGCCTTACATTACTAATTTAACTAATTTAATAGGCGATGATAAATTAAAATGTAAGCCAAAATTAATAAGAATAAAATGTCAGGCCCGTTTTTTAAGGTGGTGCTTTTACTTAGATTTATTGGTCTTTTGGGGCTCTTATTACTGTAATAAGATGTTAGATAAAATATATTCAAAATATGAATGTATTCTCTCTCGTGTGTGTTTGTAAAAATAATAATAATAAAATTCCAAAATAGAGAAAATGAGGAATGTATTGGGGAGGGAGGGGGGGACATACCGTGGATGAGAGAGAAGAGACTGCCGTTGGGGAAGTAATCGTAAACAAGAAGGCGTTCCTCCTTAGCTTGGAAATAAGCTCTGAGTGGGACCAGGTTGGGATGCCTCAACCAACCAAGCACCTCCACGTGTCTCCTGAACTCTTCAACCCTCGGGTACTTCGGCTCCTTCAGCCTCTTCACCGTCACTATAAACCCCGACTCCATGACCGCCTTATACGTGCTTCCTATTATGCCCCTCCCCAGCGTCTCCGCCGAAGCCTTCAACAAATCCTCCAAGCTGTAACTCATTTTCTGATCCCCTGGTCCGCAGAACACCAGACTCCCTAGTCCCTCCCCTTCCCACGAAAATCCCCCCAGTTTTCCACCATTATTACCTCCCCTGCCACCAGCTCCATTGCTGGTCCCTTCTTCTCCATCTCCTTCAACAACCACCCCTTTGTTCCTCACCTCCCCTGCTTTGCTTATTTTCTTCCTTTTTCTCACACAAAACGCCATTAATGCTGCTAAAATACAGAGTAACAAAAACCCACCAACACTTCCTAGGATTATAGCTATGAGTTTCCGATTTCTATGGTGCTTTCTTTTTGATTTTTTGGTGGGAAGAATCGGGTAAGAAGGACTGATAGATGGAGCCAAACTATTACAGGGAATCTGAATTTGGTGACCACAGAGGTTAATATTGCCAAAAAATGAGGACCCATTGAATCTTACTAATGCCGGAGTGAGTGGGATTTCACCGGAGAGTTGATTGTTGGAGACATTGAAGAATCTCAGACTAGTTTGGTTCAACGTCGGGATTTCACCGGTCAACCGGTTGTCTTGCAAGTAGAGAACGTATAGTCGCCGGAGCTTAAGTAATGAGTCGGGTATGTGGCCGGATATTTGGTTTCCGGAGAGATTAATGACTTTTAACCGGTGGAGAAGCGAAACGAAAGCTGGGAAATCGCCGGAGAAGTTGTTGTTGTTGAGGTAGAGAGATTTGAGATTGGTGAGGCCGGAGAGATTTGGGATTTGGCCGGAGATTGTGTTGTCTTTGAAGCTCAGAACTCGAAGCTGATCTAATTGGTTTAGGCTTTGCTCATTCAATGTACCGCTCAAATTTACGTGCTCTAAAACAAGCTTTGTGACCCTTCCTTGCGGGCATTCTTTGACTCCTTGCCATTTACACACATCTATTCCTCGCCATTGAAGCGAGTTTGATGGATCTACCGAAGCTTTCAACTCTAAAAGAGCTTGGGCGTCCTCTGATCTTGCCAAAGAAACAAGAACAGAGAGTAAAAAGAACAGAACAGAGTACCTTGGAGAAGCCATCAATCTTTCTTTCTACTTGGATAAAAGTTCTGATCGAGTTTGAATGAAGAGTGATATTGTTGGGTGAAACATAAATGTAAAAAATCTTCAAATTTTACTGAATCTTCACATCGGAAAGATCCAAAAATCTTTTTCCTTGTCTTTCGCTTTTAATATAATCGCTTTCAAAACCCAAATCTCCAGATCTACGACTTTGAATGGAATAGCGTAAGAGAATAGTGGACCATGTTGGTCCTTTAAACCCCAAGGAAAGGCCGCCAATTAGTGTCTCTATCAGCGCTGGAGTTTTGACTGATCAACGTGACAGCTTCAAACAAAAAACCCAAGTCAAAAACACAATAATGAAAGTTCATCTACTCACAATGGCTTCACAGAAATGGAATTGGAACGAAAACATGGACTGAGAGAGCATTTAAGCTTTGAAATTTGAGAGAACTCGGTGAGTTCACTCTGTCTCTCTCTTCAAGTTGATCAAATTGAGAGAGTAGGGGTCACTGATTCTGGGCACTTCGTTTCTCGAACTTCTTGCTCGCAAAACTCACAGACACTCTGCTTTTGCTTCACGTGAGCTCATCTCAGAGCTTGCAGGCTGACCCAAAAATACCTTTCTTTTATATTCTCTCTCCATACTATGATTTTTGCGTATAAAATGGCTGGATATAGATGAACGCTGAAACTTAAAAAAATAGTCCTTGGGCTTCTCAAAGCAATATTTTAGCTGTTTTTGAACCCTGAAAAGCATTGGATCCAGTACCCACCAACCAACTCTCACTGAAACTCAATGGGCTTCGCGTTTCTCCGTGATTTGTGATCTGATCAACGGAGATAAGAAGAAATTTCATTTCGCTTACCCTCGAACAATAAAGGAGAGGCTCACTCTTGTTTACTGTAAATGTAATAATTCATGGGGGGGAGAGAGAGAGAGAGAGAGAGAGGAGATTAAAAGGACAGAACAGTATAGGTTTGTTTTTCACCCTGAGAATGGTCTCAGGAAATGGATGAAGAAATTGAAGACCATTGTAGCCTGTAATTAATGTGAAGCATTGACGCTTACAGTTAGCCCACCATAGAAATTAGAAAAAGAAAAAGAAAAAGAAAGAAAATAATGAAGGTGGTAGCTTACACGTGTTTGTAATAATCTTGATTGTTACACGTGGCACTAATAAATATATATTACGTAGTTGGATCGGATCCCATCTTTTCATTTTTTTTTAATTGAATTTTAGTTAGATTCCACCATTTTATATATATATATATGTTGGTATATTATTATTGTAATCCAATAAAACTATATTACAAATAAAAGAATAAGGTTAAAAAACACATTTCATTTCAATTTCAATTAATGATGAATGGAGTAGGACAACATATGAAATAGGCCAAAAAAATATAAGACAACAAAATTGTACATGTCGACAGGGTAAAATAGATCAAACACTGTTAATGACAAAAACTGTTATCCTAACTGTTAGTTGATACTTAACAAAAAAAAAATTATTAGTGATAAACTCTTGCAGTTGGTTTTATACTCATCATCCCCCATTATGCTTTCAAGTGAAGGCTACGGCACAATCAATGGCATTTTTGGTACCATCCGAAAAATTTTAAAGTATAACATTAATAGTTTGTTTATTAAATTTATGGTATATTTATATCGATTGATAGACAAGATAAGACATTGAAATGACAAGACAAGATATATTTTTGAATTGCATTAAGTCAATTGAGGACAAAATTACAATATTAGTAGAAAGTTTACGATTATAGTGAACAAATTATAACATTAGTGAAAATTTTACAACAATAGTGAATAAAATTACAAAATTTGTGGGAATATTTACAACTTCAGTGGTATATTTACCAAATTTGTAGGAATATTTACAACTTCAGTAATATGTTTACCAAATTTGTGAAAATCTTTACAAGTTCAATGGATTCAAATATTTACAACTTCATAGAGAGATTTGATCGATCACAAACTTACTGTTTTTCAAAAAAATTTGGGAGAGACTACTTCAACCTTGTGATAAATCACGAGATCTTAGGATAGATGGCAAATATTTTGGAGATAAAAAATAATAATAATTTCGATATATTCTAAAAAATAATAATAATTGCCACTTTTATTTACCACTTTTATGAAAATATTTATAATTTGAATGAATTCTTTATGGGAATAATTACAACCTAAGTGGTATGTGTTACTAAATTTATTTGTTTAATTGATCTATCAAAAATATGTTTAATAAAAATTCAATTTTAAATTTTTTTTTTAAATTTATCCAATTTTTTTTTGAAAAAAATTAAAATTAAATTTTTATTAAACATATTTTAAAATTGAATTTTGAAAAATCAATCAAATTGTTGTTTGATCTATCAAATTCTTGTGATAGATCATAAACATTCATAAAAAATTTTTCACTACTGCTGTAAATTTTTTCCACTGTTGTTATAAATTTTTCACTAATATTGTAATTTGTACCACTATTGTGGTAATTTTCCCACTACTCTTATAAAATTTTTGTTAGTGTTGTAATAGAACAATCATAAAGAAAGGGACAAAAAGTCCATGATCGATCAAACATATATTTGATCGATCATGGACTAGTAATGAATCCATTGAAGTTGTAAAAATTTTCATAAATTTGGTAAATATACCACTGAAGTTATAAATATTCCCACAAATTTAATAAATATATTACTGAAGTTGTAAATATTCTCACAAATTTAGTAAATATACCAATTAAATTTGTGGTGTAAAGAAAGAGACAGAAAGTCCATGATCGATCAAACATATATTTGATCGATCATGGACTAGTAATAAATCCATTGAAGTTGTAAAGATTATCACAAATTTGGTAAACATACCACTGAAGTTGTAAATATTCCCACAAATTTGATAAATATACTACTGCAGTTGTAAATATTCCCATAAATTTGGTAAATGTTCTCACAAATTTTGTAATTTTATTCACTACTGTTGTAAAATTTTCACTAATGTTATAATTTTGTTCACTATAGTCGTAAACTTCCCACTAATGTTGTAATTTTGTCTTCAATTGACTTAATAATGGCAAGAGAGAGAGACATAAAGTCCATGATCGATCAAACATATATTTGATCGATCATGGACTAATAATGAATTTATTGAAGTGGTATATTTACTAAATTTGTGAAAATATTTACAACTTCAATGGTATGTTTATCAAATTTGTGATAATCTTTACAACTTCAATGGATTTATTACTAGTCCATGATCGATCAAACATATGTTTGATCGATCATGAACTTTCTGTCTCTATCTTTACACCACAAATTTGTTGAGAATATTTACTAAATTTGTGAGAATATTTATAACTTCAGTGGTATATTTATTAAATTTGTGAGAATATTTACAACTTTTGTGGTAAGTTTATCAAATTTGTGAAAATCTTTACAACTTTAATGGATTCATTACTAATCCATAATCGATCAAATATATATTTGATCGATCATGAACTCTCTCTCTCTCTCGCTCTCTCTCTCTCTTTATGATTGTTTTGTTACAACATTAATGAAAAATTTATAAGAATAGTGAAAAAATTACCATAATAGTGGTACAAATTACAATATTAGTGAAAATTTTACAACAATAGTGAAAAAAATTTACAACAATAGTGGAAAAAATTTTATAAATGTTTATGATCTATCACAAGAATTTGATAGATCAAACAACAATTTGATCGATTTTTTAAAATTCAATTTTAAAATATATTTAATAAAAATTCAATTTTAATTTTTAAAAAAAAATAAAATTGGATAAATTTTAAAAAAAATTTAAAATTGAATTTTTATTAAACATAATTTTGATAGATCAATTAAACAAATAAATTTGGTAACACATACCATTGAGGTTGTAATTATTCTCATACAGAATTCATTCAAATTATAAATATTCCCATAAAAGTGGTAAATAAAAGTGGCAATTATTATTATTTTTTAGAATATATCAAAATTATTATTCGGAATATATCAAAATTATTATTTTCTTTTATCTCCAAAATATTTGCGATCTATCCTAAGATCTTGTGATCTATTGCAAGGTTGAAGTAGTCTCCCCCAAATTTTTTTGAAAATCAGTAAGTTTGTGATCGATCAAATTTCTCCATGAAGTTGTAAATAATTGAATTCATTGAAGTTGTAAAGATTTTCACAAATTTGGTAAACATACAACTGAAATTGTAAATATTTTCACAAATTTGGTAAATATATCACTGAAGTTGTAAATATTCTAAAAAATTTTGTAATTTTATTCACTACTGTTGTAAAATTTTCACTAATGTTGTAATTTTATTCATTATAGTCGTAAACTTCCCACTAATGTTGTAATTTTGCCCTCAATTGACTTAATAGCAGCTCAAAAATATGTCTTGTCTTGTCATTCAATCTCTTGTATTGTCATTTCAATGTCTTATCTTGTCTACCAATCGGTATAAATATACTATTAATATTGGAATTTGGAATTTTCGGTATGGTACCAAAAATGCTTTTGGATGTACCGTAACCTTCTCCATACTTGCAATATGAAAATGATTATTACCTAATGGCCAATCACTAATGATTATTACCTAATGGCCAATGATTATTTGTAGGAGTCCAATTTATGTATAATGTATTTTACTTAAATTTTAAGAATTGAGTTGAGTTATTGAGTATGTTATACTTCATGTATCACAAATGCTTTGTCATGGAGGAAAATAGAACAAAAAATAAAATTATAATTGATGGTATTTTAAAAATATTATTAAAATAGTAACTAAATTTTTTGCATTCCACTTTTTATCTAATAAGATTTGAGGATGTTCTTAACACGATTGAGCAGGGTGTGGATATCAAGTACACTGAATAGTTAATTTTAGTTCAGTCTGAGCTCCAAGACGCTTGTGAATAAGATCTGAGAATAGGTGAAGGATAACACAGAGTACTTATAGTGGTTCACAGGCTCGGAAACTTGGCTAATC